CCCCCCCCCCCCGGGTACACCCGTGTTTCCATGGTCGTCTCCTAAGATTCCTGGTTTCCTTGAAACACCCTTTTAATAGACAAACGACAGGCAGTGATATTGGGAAGATCAGTCCTTTTATGATGTGGACTTTGCGAATGTTGACTCCTTGGCTGTTCGTCTTTTTGAATGTGGACCGCTTGTCTGATGCCAGGTGCTCGCCATCACACCAGCACTTCCAGGTGACGACAGCTTCATGAGCCGGACTTTTTTTCTTAAGGTTTGTCGAATACCTCACCCTTCTTATGTTTTCAGTCGTTCCCACAGTGACGCCGATGGCATGTCCTGCCATTTTCGAAACTCGGATGTAGCTTTGGCAAAACATATGTATATGCTCGAAAGGCAGCGTTTTTGTTTGTCCTTGTCTATCTCCAGTGCAGTTTTCACTCTACGGCGGCGGGTGAAGAGGATTTAATGTGAATTATCATTTGTGGTAAAACCAGGTTGTAATAAATTTTGATTTGCAAAAAAAAAAGAAAAAAGAAAAAAAACAGAAAGGACAAAGAAGATGTTCCCCTCGAGTCTGCATTGGCCCTAGCATCGGACTGGTCTTTTTGATGTGGCAGTAGAGCCATTATGAGGAGGTTTGAATGTGTCGACGATTGTCTGGTGATGTCTTGGGTATGGCGGCGATAATAATGTTCTCCGTCTGCCAACTTTGTCGCTAAAACATATATGCTTTCTCAATTGGTAATTGTGGAGGACTTTGTTTGTTCATTGACCAGGTCTCCGATTCGCTCCATTGTATGTATGCGATGCTTGCTCAAGAGGAAGCTGACCTCATCCTAAGGTGTGTCCACGTGCCTGAGCCAACACAGCCCGTGTTGTCTTGAGACCTTTTTTTCATCTCCAGCAAGTTTTGGAAGTAGCCAAGTTGAAAGTTGTGTAGTGACAAACGTATAAATGTGGCTGAGTGGTGTACACACATGTCACTGTTGATGAAGTCTTGGTGGAATGAGAAGGTTGCATACTGGAATATTAGGAACCCGTCTTGATGAAATGAGAAGGTTACATACTAGAATATTAGGAACCCCATCCCCTCTGAAAAGTTGCAAACGAAAGAAGAGAAGAAGAAAGAGGTGAGGTGAAGTGATGAAGTGATAACGAAGAAAACGTATAGGAGAGAAGTAGGAAAAGGAAGAAGCGTTCTACAGCATCTGCAGCATGCCCAGTTCAGGGTACAAAGTAGCAAAAGAACAGAACAGCAGAGTCATACGATGATCCTGGAATAATTTGTGCACGCTATTCCAGTCAATGCTCTCCCCCCCAGCCCGCCCACCCCTGTCGCAACCCTCCCCCTTTTCCCGCTACAAGTACCTCTCCAAGTCATATTGTGAGTTCGCCTGACTCCAAATTGATCTGGTGTGGTGTCGGTGCAGAGAGAGGTGCTGGGATTTGCCCTGCGTTGGGGGGGGGGGGGGGGGGGGGGGGGGGGGGGGGGGGGGGGGGGGGGGGGGGGGTTCAGCACAACTCCGTCCCGGTCCCTGGGTAGCATTCCATCGGAGGGCAAAAGTAACCAAACTCGGGTCACGGACATTCATTCGCACAGGAAAGTGGGCGATCATTGCACCCTGGGGCAACTTGTGCAGCAGCACTGCAATGCCACACATTGCAGACACGCTGGCCCAAATCATGTATCATGGCCACATACGGGACAGCTAGCGCAAATATGTTGGTGAAGTGTATTGCAAAACCGCACAATGGCAGCCTAGAACATTCACAGTTCGTAGAAGTACATTGGCCGTACAAAAGTGCAGGTCAAGCTAAATCATAAATGATTCATCATCGCAACGCACGTGCACGAGCATTAATGTGCAGTAAAGAGAACACTGAAAGCATATTCATCAGCAGATTTCGGTAGATCTGCTAGATTTTGACAGATTCTGTGGTAGGGCTTGGCATACTTATTTTCTTTTATAATATTCAAATTCGGAACTAGTAGATCTGAACGCTCGACCTCGGAAATCAGAAGCGCCCCGGAATACAGAATTGTTATAGGTTCCTTGCAGGTTTTGTAGAAAGCCGGGTTTTGTTGGGCCCCTGGTATATTGGCTGCCCACAGGTTAATATATAATGACGCCACCACCATGATGCGACTCCCGAACACCACGTTGTGGCAACATAACTACCACATGAGGCCACCTACTTGTGCGAACGCACGAGGACAGTCTATCGCAGCATACTGTGGGGGGATTTGCCAGATGCCTACTTGTGCGAACGCACGAGGACAGTCTATCACAGCATACTGTGGGGGGATTTGCCAGATGCTGGCCGTGTTTTCGCCTGGAGCCAACTACGCCACAAAGAAAACGAGTTTCAAAGAGGCGAAAACAAAAAAAAACAGGTACCTGCAGGTTCGAAAAGGCAACAAAAGCAGCATGGCAGAGTCTATTAAACCACCACTACCTCCGAGCCTGTTTTTGCCGACCATGAATTTCACTGCGCACCGAGTTTTGCCGAGCCTGGGTCCCAATTGTATCCTCTTTTCTGGTACCCGTCGGAAAAAAAAAAACCCAACCAAAGAAGAGGAAAAAGAAAAGACGTATACAGAACATTGAGTACACGTGAGAGTCTGCCAAAGGGCGTTTTCTGCCCTCAGCAAAACACGGAAATACGAAAAACAACACAAAAAAAAAGGTGAAAAAAATGCAACAACTCTTTGGACGTGAATGCAGCTGGATACAGAACATTGGGCAGAAAATGAGAATATGCCTTATCAACGGGCGTTACAGCCTCACTCAGGACACACGGCTGTACAAAAAAAAAAAAAAAAAAAAAAAAAAAGCAAAAGCAGCAACGACTAATTGGACGTAAAAGCAGCTGGATACAGAATCTTGAGTACATATGAGAGTGCCCTGTTGGTTGCAACTGTCAGTTCTCTGTGGAAAGTGCTCTGCCTCATGGGCCGGGCACTAAAACTAACTTGGAAGGAAAATATAAAAAACACAAGAAAACAAAAAATGAAACTATCCATGATTCCGGAATCCGGGCAGATGCATTCCTGGAGCAACTGCTGTGAGCACACTTCCTTAGTGGCTTTCCCCGATGTCCTTCCGTTCAACTCTGCAGTTTTTTTTTTTTTTTTTTTTCCCCCCCCCCCC